GTTCTGGCAAGCTCGTGACTAAATCCGCTCTAAATTGTGTTTTTCATGTGAATTGAGAAAGCTGGGGTTTTTTTATTTATTTTTTTTAATAAGTGAGATGATGGCTAAAGCCAGAGCTGAGTTGCACTGTGAGAAAAAAACAAAGCAATAGTGGTTTTCCCTGCATGCTGTGGCTGTGGAGGCTGGTTTTGGGCTGATGCTGCAGAAACAGGTCGTTCACTTTTCTGCCCAAGGCTGATATTGCCCACGGGGCTGAGCTCCCTCAATGTTCCATCTCCATCAGCTCACTACTTGCATCTCCAAGCAGGTATTTGGGTCTGGGTATTTGGAAACCAAATTCCAATGAGGTTTTCTTCTAAAGAGTGACCTACAAGTGACCTGACTGACATCTGCTTTTAGGTTGATGAATGCCAGGAAGGTCCTTGTCATTTTTACAGAGTTCCTCATGGCATTACTAGTTATTTTTTGAGACCCTCCCAGCTCCACCTAGAACAGCTGATTAAGGTCCATGTAATGTAACTTTGATTTTCTTGTGAGCAAAGCTCTGTTCTTCTGCAGTGGTGTTTCCTTTTTTTAAAGGAAAGTATTTTCATCAGTTAGGTATTTTCAGTTTCCTAGACAAATCTTCTAAGGTATAGCCAGCACTTTCTGTGCTCTCCTAAGTGAAATGTTTGGTGCAAACTTTATTTTGAGTTACACAAGTTCTGTTAGACAGGAAAACAACCAGCAATTTTGTGGCGCCCATTTTCCTCATAGTTAAAGACAAGTTTTTTCATTAAAGGAAGAAATTTTGCTTTGCACTAATCCTATTAAATATTTAACAACTCCTGGGCAGCAGTAGATCTTGGAGCTTGAGCAACAGTATTTGGTTTTATATGTGTAAACAGGTTTTGGGGTTTTTTTTCTCCATATGAAAGAAAGAATGTGATTTCTGACAAATAGTGAAAAAGATCGCTTCGGAGAAGCAGAACAGGTCCCTCCCCTGGGCAACAGCACTCACTGCTGCTAGGCCTGGCCACTCCATCGCTGTTCTGATTCAACCTCCGAAAAACACCAAAGGAGGTCCGGAAATCAATTATTTATTTGTTGGGGTTTTGTTTTGTTTTGCTGAACATAGCCCTTCCTGCCTTTTTATTAAAGCCTGGCTGCTGGTGCAGTTCTTCCAGACCTTTTAAATCCGTCCTTTTCAAAGTATTTGGCTAGAGGTCATACCTCATGTAGTTGTAATTACAGAGCCGAAGGAGGGCAGAGGGAGCAGTCCGTGTGAAACCCTTCAGAAAAGGGTCTTTGATTCAAGGTGAAGACCAGCTTTTGCTCTACAGACCATCCAATGTTTGAAAAAAAATACTTCTATGAGAAGTGGAGAGTTGCCAGTGAAAGAGGTTTCGTTCCCAGCTCAAAGTCAGAAGTGCAAAGAGTAAGGCTGTGGACCAACTATGCTGGCTGAAGAGGACAGATTAATTTGGGACAGGAGTTTTTGGTAAGAAACAAGGCTGTGATAAGGGACCCTCATGGGGCAGGGACGACTCAAGAGGGAGTGCATCCAGGGGAGTTTGGTGCCATGGGAGCTTTGCTTTATGATAAGGTTTCTCAGCATTTCAAAAGCACCTGAAATGAAGGATCAGAATTTAAATCGTGTTTACTTACCTCCTCTTAAAGCAGGGCTGAGCCCGGACATCACTGCACCACCTCTGGAGAGGCCTGAAAACTCTGAGCAGCCAAAGTTCCCCATGTGAAGGCACTTTGTTACAATACTGAAATATTTCTTTTTATGCTATCGATGGAAATAAGATTAAGAGTTGCCCTTCTCTGGGCAAACAGTGAGAGCAAAAAGTGGGAAAGCAGGTGAGTCCAACAGAGGAAGCTCACCTCTCACAAAAAGCTTTGCCTGATCTGTGAATCTTCCTGGTTTGTCCTGCTCTTAAAGAGAATATCCTTAGTTAAACTAACATTTCTTTGAAAGTTAAGTTTATGTGTCCGTTCCACTAGTGGCAAGTCCTGCCATTTCCCAAACACGCCTGCTCGTCCCCGGAGCGTGGCAGCCGGTCCCTTTGGAGCCCAGCAGCTCTCTGCTGCTGCAGATGCTCCGGCCACAAAGTGAGCTGAGATGAAGAAAAATCACACTGAAAGCCTGAAAACTTACTGAGGAATATTTCTGAAAAATTGAATCCGAAGAAATACATCAAATCAAACAGCTTTGACTCAGCGCAGCATTTCTGGTGCAACTTTGGCAACATGCTTCTCTACCACCTATAGCAGATTGCATTAACATGTAGAGGAGGAAACGTTCAAACGAAAGGGACTACAGGTTTATTTTACCAAGAGCCACTAGATGGGGATGCAAGGACACTTTTTCTGCTCTTTTTCTCACACTTGGATCCCCACTTCGTTGAGCTTGAGCTGGTCTTTTCCACTAACACGGGCTGTTGTTGTCTTTGCTTTTTCGTTTTAGGAGCTGACAGAGGTCATTTGGAAACTTACCACTCGCTGACTTTTCATCCTGTACAAATCAGGCCTTAGGCAAGAGTTACGATGTGGTTACTGCTCGCTGAATATTATTCTCTGCATCAAGACCTGGCAGAGGGAAGAGTAAAGGATTTGGCTTTCGGTTTGTGGATTAGTCTTCTTTTACAGGCTATGGAAAGGAAAAGCACTTTATATTGAACGCAGTGAGGGAGGGAAAAGGGTATTCAGCAAACTGGTAATCTCTGAAAATAGCCATGCTTTGGAACAGTTATTGAGGGAAAAAGGCAGGAGATTTTCCTCAAGCTCAGTAGTCAAATCTCTGGGCGTTTTTTTCCCCCCTCCTTCGAAATCTCTATTTCTTCTATGAATAAGAGAGATAAAAATCAGCAGGATTGGTATGGCAGAGGTGTAGGCAGGATCAGCCCTGCTCTCTAGGGTAGAAGCGCTCCACAGATGTCTTCCACAAGCACATATGGGCTGCAGGAATCCATGCAATGCATAAGCAATGCTAGGGAGGCAAGGAGTGAGGAGGGCTCCAGCTGTACATTCGTCTCCAGCTCTGACCTCCGTTCACCTTGG